CCATGCAATGAGCAGAACAACTTGTAACCCACTAGGCCAGCGGTGTTCGTTTGCGTTGGGTGGCCAGGTGGGGTGTATGTGGGATTAATCCTCAGCATCCGCTTAGTTAAATGTTGCAAACAGCAGAAACACACGTCCATTCCTGGGGCCCATGAACCCCAAGCCTAGCTCCAGCTCACTGCCATCAGGCCGAGCCTACCTCACAGCACCCCGACAGGGCAGAGACCCTGAAGCTTGCCATCTTTATAAGGGCGGACAGCCTCAGCTTTCTCCCTCGGAGGAACTGGTAGGTTCAAACCGCCGACCTTGGGATGAGCAGTTCAATGAGTAGCCAACTCTGCCACCGTGGATCCCACATGAGGGTACCCAAGCCATCCACAGAGGTTAGGAAGCAGCAGAAGCTGGAAGTACACCTCTGGTTGAAGGGGGCAGTGGGGGGGTGTCACACGCCTCTGGTCCTACCCTCCATAGACGGAGAGCTTCCAGGGCGGAGGGAAGCCATGGCTACTCCACGCAATCATCTGTGGAGGGCCCACAGCCTGCTGCTCCCCGATTCTTTCTTCCCTGGCACGCCCAAGGCCAGCGAGAACCAGACCCGCCAGGGAACCCACGGTGACCCTGTGTGTGTCGAAGCAGACTGGGTGCCAGAGGGGTTTCAGTGGCTTATCTTTTCAGGTCTTCTGAGCACCTCTGGGTGGGCTCCAACCTCCGGCCTTCTGCTTAACAGTCGAGTCTCTAAGCCTCCGTCCAGCCGAGCAGTCCCCAGGGAGGCCGCAGCAGTCCTCGGGGAGGAAATGCAGATGGCCCCCGGGGCCTGGATGGGGAGGAGGGACAGGAGGTGGTTGCTGAGGGGCTGGGAGCAGGGTTCCTGCCCCAACTGCCACTTTCCGTTGGGAAGTGACGTGCGCTCCGTGGAGCAGGGGGCCCGAGCTGAGCAGACCTGGTGCCCAGGGGCTGGGGCCGGGGCCACCCTGTGCTTCTTTGCTCCCATCAGTAGATGCACAGCAGCACTGACAACCAGGTGGCTCTCCAAGTGCCTGCAAGGAGGATGGAGTCATCCCCCCACCCCCACCCCAGCTGCCCAGAGGGACTGGTGGTGCAGGAAGGAAGCTGGCAGGGTGTCTGGATGAAGGGAGTGGCAAGCAGTGCCAGCCCGAGGTGTTCTCTGCTTCTGCTGCTGCAGGGCTTTGTTCTCAGTGAGCTACCAGGGCCAGGACGCTGAGGGAGGGTACGGAAGGTGGGCCCAGGTGGCTGTGTGAGCATTTGATTTCCTTGTGCTTATCGCTGGCTTCCAAGTGCACACTTCCATCAGGCTGCAGGCCCCGGGCC